AAAACTGCTGAATTGATGGAAACCATATTGTATCTGCAATTAACGACAAAACTGCTGAATTGATGGAAACCATATTGTATCTGCAATTAACGACAAAACTGCTGAATTGATGGAAACCATTTTTTATCTGCAATTAACGACAAAACTGCTCAACTGATGAAAACCATATTGTATCTGCAATTAACGACAAAACTGCACAACTGATGGAAACCATATTGTATCTGCAATCAAAGACAAAACTGCTGAATTGATGGAAACCATATTGTATCTGAAATCGACGACAAAACTGCTGAATTGATGGAAACCATATTGTATCTGCAATTAACGACAAAGCTGCTGAATCAATGGAAACCATATTGCATCTGCAATTAACGATAAAACTGCTGAATCAATGGAAACCACATTGTATCTGCAATCGACGACAAAACTGCTGAATTGATAGAAACCATAATGTATCTGCAATTAACGAAAAAACTGCTGAATTGATGGAAACCATATTGTATCTGCAATTAACGACAAAACTGCTGAATCAATGGAAACCATATTGTATCTGCAATTAACGATAAAACTGCTGAATCAATGGAAACCATATTGTATCTGCAATTAACGATAAAACTGCTCAACTGATCAGGAATAATAATGTTAGAAAAGTTTTAGAATTTTAACAGTTTATATTGTTAAAATTTCTTAATTTAAGAGAAAGGACTTTCAAAAATAAAGAATATTTCAGCAACAAAAACTAAGATTATTTCTAGAAAATGAGAAGAACGAAGCCCCCAGCATAACCCTTGTCATTTACATTCCTTCTCCTGATAAAATTCAATGTTGCAGTGTATAAAAGAATATAAAAGACCAGGGGGGAAATCAAATAGGAAATGGAGGGAAATAAGACTAGGGGAATAATGAGGGGTGTAGAGGTAAGCTATGCATAACATTTTGTAAGATATAATCCCTTGTTTCTTAACTTTTTAATCTACTTTATTAGATATTTGACAAGAAAAATAAATTTAGAAAAACTATGTTTGTGTTGCTTTGGGCTCGAACTTTAAGCCAAAATTTAAGCTTTAAAATGATGTTTTCAAATCATTATTTGAATGTACAGGGTATCTCAGAAAACCCTGTAAAATCACAAAACTTTCAGTTTTTGTAGAAATACTTTTAAGTGAAAAAAGTTGTTGTCACATTGAAAATCCAAAACTAATTTCCTTATTTCTTCTCTTAGCTCCGTATTTCTATGTCCGGCCCTGTATAAGTCTGATGTAAAGTTTGATTGAAATGTTTATACTACGATGTATATACATTATACACTACTCACCTACCCTACCTCAATATATAAACAAAATTAAGCCGATACATCATCAAGCTGAGAATCAGGCAATTAACTGCAAAATATTGCAGCAAGAACAGAACAATTTATTGTCTTAAAGGGAATATATAAACCGTAATTTTAAGTGACATTACGTTTTAAAAATGGCATTTCAGATTCTTGGAATGGTTCCCTTTATACCCTTTATACCCTTTATACCCTTTATACCCTTTATACCCTTTATAACCTTTATAAAGTTTTGTCTGATAAAAAATGAATTAGCTATCCTTTTTTCTCTTTGATAACTAATCATTTTCAATTGTCGTTAAAGTGACTTCTGCTGTATTCAGGAACAATGATGGAATTGTAAAAATTAACCAATTTTCAAACCAGAAAAGCACAATATCTTCCGTGCTATCATCAGTAAAAAGTAGGGTTTGCAGCGAAAAGGAAAAATCGTTTCGCGAAAAAATGCAAAATTTT